TTTACTTTTATTTATTTATTTAGCTATAAAAATATATTTAATAAACTTATTGCCCTCATGTTCGGTACAAAACCTTTTAGTGCACTTTTGTTTCCAGATTTTAATCACTACAATTTTTTGTCAAATCTTTTATTGACATAAGCATGAACATACTTAAGTTTGGATATGCTTAAAAGCAACTTGAAAAATGTCATTATAAAAGTGGCTTACCAATGAGAAGGAAATATAAAATATCAATATAATCAATATAAAACCTAAAACCTTGTGCTGCTTATCAGAAAAACACAGTCCTGGTCTACAAAACAGGTTGATGCTGGGAAGGTACCATTGGGTTATAGCTGTAATTAATTTTGGTCATGATTGTAATCAACTCTTGATATCATATAAAATTAAAATATAAACCAGCATTATATAAAAGTATTAGACTTAATTTTATAGACTAAAATCTTTTTTAAAACTCAAAGTTCTAAAAACTCAGGTTTGTGGAACTTTATAAAATGGGATTTCCTAACCCTATCACAATTTCTGAAAAAACTTTTTTTATTGATCTTTCTGTGATACTAGCTATATAATTTTCCAGAAAAAAATTTAATTTTTGGTCAAGTAACAAACAATTAATACTTAACTACTAATTTTACCAACAATTACTGATTTAACATATCTAATAGTTGTTTTTTTAACTATTTTTTAACTATGCCATTAATAAAGGCAATTAAATCTTTTACCCACCCTTTTTTTTTTTTTTTTTTTTTAACATCTTCACTTCCAACAAGGCTGCAAGCAACCACTATAAGAGTTGGAAGTTACTGGAATAGAAAAGACTAAATCTGTAGAGCAAGATAACGATTGACTGATGACTTAAAAGATTGCAAATTATATGAATCAGGAAAGCAAGATGAAGGAAGCGAATTCCAAAGAACTGATGTTCGAGGAAAAAAACTAGAAGAATAAGAGTTTTTGAAGCACTTAGGAACAGTCACAGAAAAAGGATGAGACTTAATTGAATGGCGAGTAACACGAGAATGAATTTTAGTAGATGGCACAAGGGACGCTAGCTCTTTAGAGCAGTGCCCATTATAGTATTTGTAGAAAAGAGAAAGAGAAGCAGCATTACGACGATGAGACAAAGGTTGGAGATTGGCTGCCAGAGCAGGTCCAACTATGTTTACAATTCGTTTTTGCACCTTGTCTAAAAGAGAAAGAGCATCATTAGAAGATCCGCCCCCGATGTGGCAACAGTATTCCATACAGGGACGGATTTGAGATTTATAGAGATAGAGAATAGAATCTGGAGTAAGAAAGTGTCGAGCTCGATAAAGAGATGCAACCTTAGCAGATGCTAATTTTGCAATGGATTTGATATACGGTTTAAAAGAAAGATAAGAAGTAAGAGTTAATCGTAGAAGATGAATGGTAGATGACTCATCTAGTACATTACCATTCATAAATATAGGAAGATCTAAATTATTACAATAACGATTGGCCGAATAAAATTGAGTTTTATCTGAATTAAAGTTCACCAGCCACTGTGAGCCCCAAGCTGTAGCAGAAGTGAGATCCTTTTCAAGCTCAGATACCCCCTCTAAGCAATCAGAGAGTGTAGGCTTCTTATCATGACAAGAGTAAATGGTAGTGTCGTCAGCGAATAATGCCACCTTAGATGTGAGAATATCTGGAAGATCGTTAATGTAAATTAAAAAGAGTATAGGGCCAAGGATTGAACCTTGAGGAACCCCTGAAGTTACAGGATGTGAAGAAGAGTGTTGTCCATCGAGGACAACTTTTATACTACGATTGGAAAGAAAGGACTCAATAATCTTAAAAACGTTACCAGCTACACCATAAGAAGAAAGCTTATGGAGAAGACCAGCATGCCAAACTTTATCAAAAGCTTTAGAAATGTCGAGTGCGATAGCCTTAACCTCTCCACCTCTATCTAATGCACGGTAAAACCTATCGGTTATTACTGTTAGCACATCAGCTATAGAACGAGAAGACCGAAATCCATATTGATGATCAGAAAGTAAGTTATTTGATTCAAGATGAGAGATTAAGTGTTTGTTGATTAAAGATTCAAAAACCTTGCTTATGACAGGAAGAAGACTAATGGGACGGTAGTTAGATGAATCAGATCGCTCTCCGGAATTTTTGAAAATAGGGATAACAGATGCTGCTTTCCAGCATGATGGAAAACAAGACTCTGATAAGCACTTGTTAAATAGTTTAGAAAGTATGGATGAAAGCTCTGGAGAACACCTCTGCAAGACTACAACAGGAATGTTGTCAGGACCACAAGCTGTTGAAGAGTCTAAGCAGGAAATTACTTTAGATACAGAAGCTGAAGTTTTAGAGCTGTACCCTCATTAGGAGATAATAGAATGAGTTGCCCAGTCATAAAAACAGAGACACAAGCAATACCCACGCATTGAGTCAAGAAGATCCAGCGTTCAACATCCTAAACTGGAAACAATGTATTAAAAATACATCTGCGCCAGCCTAATAGATGAGGAAGGGGTGCGAGGCTGGTCAACAGATAGAATCTGTTTACCCCTTGAGTACCAAATATTCACACACAAAAAAAAAAAATGAAAAAAATAAAAAAGTTGCTACTTAAAGTATGTCTTTATGAAAGTTCTGAGAATGACTGATAAAAATAACGTTTTTTAATCCAAATAAATATTCATGCAAATCCAATCAATTTTTTTTTTATTTTTGAACTGAGAAATGTTCGTGTTTTCTTTTCTTTTAGTTTGTAGATAGTTATTCTTTTGCACATGAAAAGGCTTTTTTTCTGAAATAAGGTGTAATCGGATGTTAAAAAATGGTTTTTTTAGATTTTGATTTGTTCTTAGACTACAAATTTCAAACTGGAAATGTTGGCAAATCTCCACTTTAGTTTGCAATTATTTGTGAATCAATTTTTTTTTACAAAATAAGTTTTTTTAATTCAAAATATTAATTAACCTCTGTAAATGTTTGTAAACCTTTTGTAAATATTTCTAAAAATAACTTTGCTGTCATAACCAGAAGCTGCAAATTCTGCTACAAAATGAACATATAACCACCTAGTTAAAAGATAACTCTTTTATCTCTTGAAAATTCAATAAATAATAAATTTATAAAAAAATTATTGTTAGCTGACAGGGGCTAATCTAGACGATTTTCAACAGCCCAAATTAAAATTTGAGGCCCTTTTTTTTTTTTTATATACGTTTTTTACAACAAATAATGTTATTTTCACACAAAAACAGATTTTTAGCTAAATTTCTCCCAGACGGGGAGATGGGGGGGAGAGGTACAGCAGTACAATTTTTTTTCCTAGAAGAGTCCCTGGCTGTGTTAGTGCAAAATGCTAAAACATTTAGCATTTTATACTAACCGAGAAATCTAGCTGATTTTCTAGTTAATTGTTAAAGAAATATCTTTCCTGCATACATACATACAAATATACGTATTTTTAGATATTTAAGTTGTTTTTAGATTAATTTTATTTTGTAATGTTCGGTCCTTAGCACGTTGCTGGTAGTACTAGGTTGTCAAGGTTTGTGTTTCGGAGTTATAAAGTTGAGAGAGGGTTGTAACCATAACTAAAGTAGCCTCCTCAACTGGAGTGGCCTTCATGGCTTTAGGGAGGTGAATTAAAACAAAAAAATTCAAAAATATAGAAATATAGAAGGCTATGCTTAAACACATACAGATAGCAATGTTTTAGTATGCTACTTTTAAATATAGCAATTAAACACAAAATAAAATTATTCCAAAAATAACATGGTAATAAAAAAAACATTCAGTTGTTAAGTTAAACATTGTCTAAAGAATAACCAAATTTGCTTGTAAACCTGTAAAGTCAAAGTAAGCAATTTCTCAAAAAAATTCTAAGTAATGCATAAAGTTTAGTTTATATATTATTTCATTTTATCATAATGCAGAATTAAATTATTATAATTCCATCGGTTGGAAAATAGGTGAATTAATAAAAAAAAAGGTAGATTCCGATACCGATTCTGATTGTGCAAAAAGTGGCCTATTAAGCTGATGCTGATTAATCGGTACATCACAAATACATACATATACTTTCAGTGTATGTATGTATTAGTCAGCCAAGATTAGCACTTTATTTGGAAGCAGATGTGTTTTTAAAAGGTTTTTTCAGAAAATAAATCATTTATTTTTAACATATTCATCTTTAATGTATGTTAATTTTGTTTTGATGTTCATTCTTTTACATGCAATTTGTGAAATCTTATTTCAAATTTTGTTTTTGAGGCTTAGCATTTTATTTTGTTTATTTTTACATTATTTAGTTTATTACACAAAATATTGTTTAATTTTTGTTTATTCTAGAACTTGTTTTGCAAACGACAAAGAAATGGTTTTCTCAAAATAATGAGTTAACTCTTGATTTATTATCTCGTATTGAGAAGCAAATTATATCTGCAATAGATGAAAAACTTCACTGTTTTGATGATCTTGGTCATGGTTCTTTTCTAAAATTTCTGATTGAAAATGAGAGTTTAAAAGAGCTAGTGGAATATGGATTAAAAACAGTTAGCCAAAATCGAAGTGAAAGTGTTTCTAAAGATGATCTGGGGATTTTTATTCATCAGTGTGGAGATCAAGGCTGCAAAGTAAGAGTGTTCATAATATTTAATTTATTCATCAGTGTGGATATCAAGGCTGCAAAGTAAGAGTGTTCATAATATTTAATTTATTCATCAGTGTGGAGATCAAGGCTGCAAAGTAAGAGTGTTCATAATATTTAATTTATTCATCAGTGTGGAGATCAAGGCTGCAAAGTAAGAGTGTTCATAATATTTAATTTATTCATCAGTGTGGATATCAAGGCTGCAAAGTAAGAGTGTTCATAATATTTAATTTATTCATCAGTGTGGAGATCAAGGCTGCAAAGTAAGAGTGTTCATAATATTTAATTTATTCATCAGTGTGGAGATCAAGGCTGCAAAGTAAGAGTGTTCATAATATTTAATTTATTCATCAGTGTGGAGATCAAGGCTGCAAAGTAAGAGTGTTCATAATATTTAATTTATTCATCAGTGTGGAGATCAAGGCTGCAAAGTAAGAGTGTTCATAATATTTAATTTATTCATCAGTGTGGAGATCAAGGCTGCAAAGTAAGAGTGTTCATAATATTTAATTTATTCATCAGTGTGGAGATCAAGGCTGCAAAGTAAGAGTGTTCATAATATTTAATTTATTCATCAGTGTGGAGATCAAGGCTGCAAAGTAAGAGTGTTCATAATATTTAATTTATTCATCAGTGTGGAGATCAAGGCTGCAAAGTAAGAGTGTTCATAATATTTAATTTATTCATCAGTGTGGAGATCAAGGCTGCAAAGTAAGAGTGTTCATAATATTTAATTTATTCATCAGTGTGGAGATCAAGGCTGCAAAGTAAGAGTGTTCATAATATTTAATTTATTCATCAGTGTGGAGATCAAGGCTGCAAAGTAAGAGTGTTCATAATATTTAATTTATTCATCAGTGTGGAGATCAAGGCTGCAAAGTAAGAGTGTTCATAATATTTAATTTATTCATCAGTGTGGAGATCAAGGCTGCAAAGTAAGAGTGTTCATAATATTTAATTTATTCATCAGTGTGGAGATCAAGGCTGCAAAGTAAGAGTGTTCATAATATTTAATTTATTCATCAGTGTGGAGATCAAGGCTGCAAAGTAAGAGTGTTCATAATATTTAATTTATTCATCAGTGTGGAGATCAAGGCTGCAAAGTAAGAGTGTTCATAATATTTAATTTATTCATCAGTGTGGAGATCAAGGCTGCAAAGTAAGAGTGTTCATAATATTTAATTTATTCATCAGTGTGGAGATCAAGGCTGCAAAGTAAGAGTGTTCATAATATTTAATTTATTCATCAGTGTGGAGATCAAGGCTGCAAAGTAAGAGTGTTCATAATATTTAATTTATTCATCAGTGTGGAGATCAAGGCTGCAAAGTAAGAGTGTTCATAATATTTAATTTATTCATCAGTGTGGAGATCAAGGCTGCAAAGTAAGAGTGTTCATAATATTTAATTTATTCATCAGTGTGGAGATCAAGGCTGCAAAGTAAGAGTGTTCATAATATTTAATTTATTCATCAGTGTGGAGATCAAGGCTGCAAAGTAAGAGTGTTCATAATATTTAATTTATTCATCAGTGTGGAGATCAAGGCTGCAAAGTAAGAGTGTTCATAATATTTAATTTATTCATCAGTGTGGAGATCAAGGCTGCAAAGTAAGAGTGTTCATAATATTTAATTTATTCATCAGTGTGGAGATCAAGGCTTCAAAGTAAGAGTGTTCATAATATTTAATTTATTCATCAGTGTGGAGATCAAGGCTGCAAAGTAAGAGTGTTCATAATATTTAGTTTATTCATCAGTGTGGAGATCAAGGCTGCAAAGTAAGAGTGTTCATAATATTTAATTTATTCATCAGTGTGGAGATCAAGGCTGCAAAGTAAGAGTGTTCATAATATTTAATTTATTCATCAGTGTGGATATCAAGGCTGCAAAGTAAGAGTGTTCATAATATTTAATTTATTCATCAGTGTGGAGATCAAGGCTGCAAAGTAAGAGTGTTCATAATATTTAATTTATTCATCAGTGTGGAGATCAAGGCTGCAAAGTAAGAGTGTTCATAATATTTAATTTATTCATCAGTGTGGATATCAAGGCTGCAAAGTAAGAGTGTTCATAATATTTAATTTATTCATCAGTGTGGAGATCAAGGCTGCAAAGTAAGAGTGTTCATAATATTTAATTTATTCATCAGTGTGGAGATCAAGGCTGCAAAGTAAGAGTGTTCATAATATTTAATTTATTCATCAGTGTGGAGATCAAGGCTGCAAAGTAAGAGTGTTCATAATATTTAATTTATTCATCAGTGTGGAGATCAAGGCTGCAAAGTAAGAGTGTTCATAATATTTAATTTATTCATCAGTGTGGAGATCAAGGCTGCAAAGTAAGAGTGTTCATAATATTTAATTTATTCATCAGTGTGGAGATCAAGGCTGCAAAGTAAGAGTGTTCATAATATTTAATTTATTCATCAGTGTGGAGATCAAGGCTGCAAAGTAAGAGTGTTCATAATATTTAATTTATTCATCAGTGTGGAGATCAAGGCTGCAAAGTAAGAGTGTTCATAATATTTAATTTATTCATCAGTGTGGAGATCAAGGCTGCAAAGTAAGAGTGTTCATAATATTTAATTTATTCATCAGTGTGGAGATCAAGGCTGCAAAGTAAGAGTGTTCATAATATTTAATTTATTCATCAGTGTGGAGATCAAGGCTGCAAAGTAAGAGTGTTCATAATATTTAATTTATTCATCAGTGTGGAGATCAAGGCTGCAAAGTAAGAGTGTTCATAATATTTAATTTATTCATCAGTGTGGAGATCAAGGCTGCAAAGTAAGAGTGTTCATAATATTTAATTTATTCATCAGTGTGGAGATCAAGGCTGCAAAGTAAGAGTGTTCATAATATTTAATTTATTCATCAGTGTGGAGATCAAGGCTTCAAAGTAAGAGTGTTCATAATATTTAATTTATTCATCAGTGTGGAGATCAAGGCTGCAAAGTAAGAGTGTTCATAATATTTAGTTTATTCATCAGTGTGGAGATCAAGGCTGCAAAGTAAGAGTGTTCATAATATTTAATTTATTCATCAGTGTGGAGATCAAGGCTGCAAAGTAAGAGTGTTCATAATATTTAATTTATTCATCAGTGTGGATATCAAGGCTGCAAAGTAAGAGTGTTCATAATATTTAATTTATTCATCAGTGTGGAGATCAAGGCTGCAAAGTAAGAGTGTTCATAATATTTAATTTATTCATCAGTGTGGAGATCAAGGCTGCAAAGTAAGAGTGTTCATAATATTTAATTTATTCATCAGTGTGGATATCAAGGCTGCAAAGTAAGAGTGTTCATAATATTTAATTTATTCATCAGTGTGGAGATCAAGGCTGCAAAGTAAGAGTGTTCATAATATTTAATTTATTCATCAGTGTGGAGATCAAGGCTGCAAAGTAAGAGTGTTCATAATATTTAATTTATTCATCAGTGTGGAGATCAAGGCTGCAAAGTAAGAGTGTTCATAATATTTAATTTATTCATCAGTGTGGAGATCAAGGCTGCAAAGTAAGAGTGTTCATAATATTTAATTTATTCATCAGTGTGGAGATCAAGGCTGCAAAGTAAGAGTGTTCATAATATTTAATTTGAATTTTTTATGCAAGATAAAAAAGAGTATTATTTTGTTTCTTTTAAACTTTTTAAGGACTAATTCGTATAAGAACACATTATGTATAAAAATATGACATAAGATTTCAAAATTAACTAATGAAAACTTTTTATTTCCAAACTTTTAGTTGAAAATCTTAATTTAAAGCAAAATGACTTGATATAAAAAGTATTATTTACTTTATTTAATCGCTTTTGCTATTGACAACTTTAATGCTTATTACACTAAATGACTAGGCTCTTAGTAAACTTTTATCTCTATCATCCTAGTATCATTGAACTTTTATCTCTATCATCCTAGTCTATCATCTCTATGATCTCAGTTTCACTGAACTTTTATCTAGTATCACTGATTTTTTTTTACTCTTTAGAAATAAGTTTAATTGTATATATATGTTTTTACTGAAAGTTAAACTGTTTACTTTATTCATAATTACAAAAGGCATAGAATTTTAAAAGTCGATTTTTTCTCAATTATTGGTTGTTCCTATCGTCTTCAAAATAGTCTTTGCTAAAATCCTCAACCAATTTTATTACATTTTTGTAGTGTTGTTGTGGTATATTTGCACCTTAACTGTAACGCCACTTAACTGATTGTAATGTCCCTATGTTTTATTTTATTCTTTTGCTGTTATTCTCCTTAGCTTTAAAGAGATATTTATGAATAAAAAAAGTGGCATTAACAAAAAATTATATATTTACAGCTTTTGGAATTAGGGTCAGCATTTAGCAATGCCAACCAAACTGCCAACCTAAAATTGTTTGAAGTTGGCAAAAAGTGGCCGACCTCGTTTCTATGTTTTATGGTTAAACTTTTGTGTCAAACTTTTTTTGCTGACCTGATGCCAACCTTTAACAGTTTAAGGTTGGCTAATTATTGCAGGTCAGAAAATTATTGTCAACTTTAACCTGTTAAAGATGGGCATCATAATTCCGAGGACTGTATTTCTATAAAATAAGATAAAGTGTTTTATTATAAGTAAAATAAAAATAGATTTATTTAAAATGTAATAAACTAGCATATTTTTTTATTAACCATATTACGTGTTCTTATTTAATAGTATTCACTAAAGTTAATATTTTAATTCATTTAGGATGATATCAGTATTGCAGCTAAAGTACAGTTTAATCTTAAAGATCTATCATTCATGAGAAATTTTGCAGTACCAACCAACACTTTATTTCAATATCAACATGCAGTTTTATGTGGTACAGAATATCAAAAGGAACTTAATTCTTTAACAGACTCAGATAATATTTTGTCTATGCTTGCTGTTTCAAAAATTAATGCCTTGCCTTACTTAGAGGATGTTTCAAAATTGATGAATTGGGATGAAATATTTCAGAGAAAATTAGGAAGTTTAAAAGAATTTGTTAAGTCAAAGTTTAATTCCAAAGATGTTTGCTACTTTTTTTTGGAACTTCAATTTGGAAAGTTTGTAAAAGTTTTGAAAGATTGTTCAATTGAATCTTTTACAGAAGCATTTGTAGCTCGGGATGCAAAGTTAGTTTCTATATGTTTAACATCTATAATATGCTCAAATAGAAGATTAGAACATGCCCCTCTTGCTCTTCTTTCAAATGTTATTCAAAAAAATATGTTAACAAGCTCAGAAACTTCAGAGTTTTCTGAAAAACATTTTTTGGTATTTATATTAGAGTGCTTCCAACTGATACCTTTTGATTTGCTTTGTTGCATTATTCATAAAGTAAGTCTAAGTTAAATAATTTATTTAATCAAATATTTAGTTTTGAAAAATATTAGCATTTATTTTTGAAACATAATATAATACTTGATTTCTATGATTGTGTAATTTTGAAAAATATTTTCAAATGTAAGTAAATCGTGTGAGCTGCATGAGAATTTTTAAAATTCGAACCCTTCTCTTTAGGTATCAGTTTACCTAAATGTTTTAGTTCATTTTAAATTAGGTTTAAATCCTTTTACTTTTTTAAATGTACTTTTACTTACCATCTCGCTCAATCGCTTTTGTTTTGTACTTTATCATTCTTTTTCTTTCAAAGAAAAAGAATGATAAAGAACCTTCTTTCATTATTACTTAGCCAATAGAATAATAAAGTTTTATTAATTTTTGAACTCACCAATATTGTTGAAGACTTTAATTCCACACGTAATGGCTGTAGTACCACTGATCCACCTGGCTCTAATGCCAAATTTTTTTCCTTAATAAATTTCTTACTCAGATAATTTCTAAACAATGCTTCTCACTTAACTTTATGATTATATCGTTTATTTTAATTTCCTGGATTCAGACAAACATGGAGCCTTTTATTCCTTCAATTTCAAGTAAACCTGTCACCCTCACCTCACTTAAACCCCTTACTTAAGTCCCTTACTTAAACCCCTCACTTAAATCCCTCCCTTATAGCCATGTATGTAATAAAATGTCAACTTTTTTAAATTTCAGAATGCTGTGACCTTTTTTTTTTAAGGCTACATCTAAAATCGCAATTTGGCAAAACACACTTAGGAACAGTAACAGAAAAAGGATGAGACTTAATTGAATGACGAATAATATGAAAATGAATTTTTGTAGATGGCACAAGAGACGCTAGCTCTTTAGAGCAGTGCCCATTATAGTATTTGTAGAAAAGAGAAAGAGAAGCAACATTACGACGATGTGACAGAGGTTGAAGGTTAGCTGCAAGAGTAGGTCCAACTATGTTTACAATGCTTTTTTGCACCTTGTCTAAAAGAGAAAGTGCATCATTAGAAGATCCACCCTAGATATGGCAACAGTATTCCATACAAGGCCGGATTTGAGATTTATAGAGATAGAGAATAGAATCCAGAGTAAGAAAGTGACGAGCTCGATAAAGAGAAGCAACTTTTTGCAACAGATTTGATATAAGGGTTCCATGTAAGATCAGAAGTAAGAGTTAATCCTAGAAGATGAAGGGTAGGAGACTCATCGAGTACATTACCGTTCATAAATATAGGAAGGTCTAAATTATTGCGATAACGATTGGCTAAAAAAAAATTGAGTTTTATCTGAATTAAAGTTCACCAGCCACTGTGAGCCCCATGCTGTAGCAGAAGTGAGATCCTTTTCAAGCTCAGATGCCCCCTGCAAGCAATCAGAGGGAGTTGGCTTCTTATCATGACAAGAATAAATGGTAGTATCATCAGCGAACAATGCCACCTTAGATGTGATAAAATCTGGAAGATCGTTAATGTAAATTAAATAGAGTATAGGGCCAAGAATTGAACCTTGAGGAACCCCTGAGATTACAGAATAAGAAGAAGAGTGCTGTCCATCAAAGACAACTTTTATTCTACGATTGGAAAGGAAGGATTCGATAATCTTAAAGATGTTTCCAGATACACCGTAAGAAGAAAGTTTATGAAGAAGACCAGCATGCCAAACTTTATCAAACGCCTTAGAAACGTCAAGAGCGATGGCCTTAACCTCTCCACCTTTATCTAATGCGCGATAAAACCTATCGGTTATTACTGTTAGCAAATCAGCTGTAGAACGAGAAGATCGAAATCCATATCGATGATTAGAAAGTAGGTTATGAGATTCGAGATGAGAGATTAAGTGTTTGTTAATTAAAGATTCAAAAACCTTGCTTATGATAGGAAGAAAACTAATGGAACGGTAGTTAGACGAATCAGATCGCTCTCCAGAATTTTTAAAAATAGGGATAACAGATGCTGCTTTCCAGCAGGCTGGAAAACAAGACTCTGATAAGCACTTGTTAAATAGTTTTGAAAGGATAGACGACAGCTCCGGAGAACACTTCTGCAAGACTATAACAGTTATGTTGTCCGGGCCGCAAGCTGTAGAAGAGTCTAAGCAGGAAATCACTTAAGATACAGAAGCTGGAGTGATACGGATGTCGAGCAGTGGATAAACCTGTTTAATAGCTATATCAGGTAGAACGCAACTAGTGGAATCAAGAAATTATATTGATGGAAGGTTCTTGGCAAACAATTAAAAGCTGATAGATATGGAAGTAATGGTTTCGATTGGCAGTTGCAGCAGCACAATGTGAGGAAAACCATGGAGAAGAGTGAGGCTTGACCTGGAATCGTCGAGAAGGAATAAAGGATTCTATGCCAGCCTGTATCCACGAAGTTATGTAGGAAGCACATTTGTCAACAGGAAGACGAAAGATTTCTACCCAGGGGCCATCACGAAGTAAATCATGGAAAGAGTCCTAGTCAGCTTTAAGGTAGTTGTAAGATAAACAATGATAGGGGAATTCAGATGGTAAAGAAGAATGAGATAATAGTTTTAGAGAGACCAAACCATGATCAGAAGCACCTAAAGGTGAGTGTGGAGAAACTGAGCACTGACTAGGATCAGAAACAAGACATAAGTCGAGTAGAAAAGGTAAATGATTCGGGTTGTCTGGAAAGCAAGTTGGAAAGTTGACTATTTGAGTTAGGGATTGAGAAAAGCAAAAGTTGTGGGCTTTAATGCCTGCAGAGTCACTTTCACTAGAGCCAAGCCATTCAGTGTGATAAACATTAAAGTCACTGACCACAACAATATTGGCTGATGGATAAAGAATGGTCAATATAATGGCTTGGTCAATATAATCAGAAATAACATCAAGAAGAGTGCAGTCTTGAGATGAAGGAGAGCGATATAGAAGTAATAAGTTCAGAGAAAATTTAAAAGTTTGTCTTGATGAAGCCTCAAAAGTCAGTGATGGAATCTCTATTTTTCATTATGACTGAAAAACAGAAACAACTGTTTTTTGAAAAGTATTGTTTTTGAAAAAACTTAATATTTTGATTATGCAATTTGAGACTAGGGATTCTAAAATTTGAAAACTTTATTATTTTATTAATTTTTAATTATAAACGGTAATGTAAATAGAGCTTATCGTTATAAACGGTAGTATAAATAGAGCTTATCGTTTGGAATGGTAGTGTAAATAGAGCCAATCATTATGAACAGTAGTGTAAATAGATTGTTAAACCCATAAAGATTTTATTAACCCATAAAGATCATATTAAGATTGCAATGCTAAGATTTTATTTTCATCAGAAAATGAAAAAAACTTAAAAAAGTTTTTAGCTGAATTAAAAAAAGCATTCATCAGTAAAATGGTTGTTTTATTTAACATCTTTTTATAGTAATGTATAACATACTAAATAATCCAAGTTAATTTTTTATAACAGATATTTTGAACAAGCGAGGATCTTAGCCATAGATCCTCGCTTGTTCAAAATATCTGTTATAAAAAAGTAATCAACTTTTTTATTTCAGTTTTTTTAATCTCATTGGTAACTCGCCAAAGAGATAAAAAAACTGAAATAAAACCTCACTTCAATTTTGTAAGTATTAAAGAAGCTTGATATACTCGATTTGTAATCTTTTGATGGTGTCACAGTATAAATAATTGGTTTTTTGAACTGTATGAAACAGGTTAATGCTTGAATGGCATTCAGCTATAGAGGTTTTCTCCATAAACACCAAATATTAGTGTATATAGTGCAGAGTCTCATAAAGACTTCAGGGTTAATCACGAAGAGATTTTTTTTTTCCTAGTTTTTGGCATACAGGAACTCTAAAAATATTAAAAAGCTTTTGGACTACAAATGGCAAAAAATTAATAGCTTTTAGGTTAGAGAAACAATCAGTTTTTGAACTTGGAGTCTTTAGGTATGATGGCAGCAAGGACTTTAGGCTTAAATTTAATAAGTTCCAAGTTATTGAATCTCATAAGATAAGTCAACAAAGATATTTAGAGCTTCTGAATACCAGAGACAAGAAAAAAATAGAGGTATAAAGCCTGAGTATTTTTGAAACTCCTCATCTCTCATTAGGGTACTTATTTTTACCTTTTTTAATTTCAAAGTTTAATAAAAAACAAAATAATTTAATTGAAGTTTTCTTTATTTAAAATAAATCAAAAGAAGAATCCTGATAATTTTTGTTAAGTGAGTCAAAGTATTTATTGGTTCATGTGATTCATCTGAAATATTTATTGATTTTTGATGTTAGTAATTGTGTTGTATACATTTCCCTTTCTTTAAGTTTTAAATAGTGATGAAAGCGATAAAAACACTATTTTCCCCTGCTCTTTCATGGTTTTGGAAGAAAAAAAAGTTAAATTTAATTTTTTTTTTCTATGCCTAGAACACAAATATTTCTTTTTGTTTAGAAAACTCAGTTTTCATATATCAGTATTTAAACTTGCATTTGGAAATCTAGAATTATTGTATTTGATCAAATGTATTAGTGACAATTCTGATTATGTCTATATTTAAAAACATTATAACAACAATAAAAACAAGTAGTGGAAAGAGTGATACTTTTAAAGTAAAAGTTAGTGTGAATATGGCTTCTGTGCTCAGTCCTAACATCTGCATAATATCCCTCACCACAGGATCTATTCTATGCTGATAACTGATGATTGATTGCAGAAACAAAAAAATGATTTATTCTTAGAAATTAGTGCTAGAAAAATGGAATAGAAGCAAAGGGGCTCAAGATAAAAAAAAAGTTTTTGCAATTCAAATTCAAATATAGTAGAATATATTCAAAAGCTGTCATGTGAAAAACAGATTTTAAATGTTCTAAATAAATTACAAAGTTGATTTATTTGAAATAAAAACTTATCATTCCACCATAATGAAATTCATCCTAGTAAAAAGATACAATCTCAAAGTTTCTCATTTATTAGACTTGAAATATTTATACTTTTTAGCAATTATGTAGCCCTAGATTAGAATGTTACAAGAATTATTTAAAGCATAATCATATAAAACATAAGAACACATAAAACATAAGAACTCATAAAACATAAGAACACATAAAGAACACATAATCACATTAGGATTCACAAAATCACGAAAATTTTACATGAAAATGTGTATAAAAAGCTGAAAATTTTATTAGTGACTAATCACAAGAAGCTCACTGTCTATGATCAATGATCAATGTCACAGATCAATGATCAATGATCAAATAAGATCAATGCTACACTAATAAATACAGCTCACTTAAATTTTTGGATGACTCACATTTAAAAAGTTAAAACAGCAAAAAATTTCTTGAAAAAAAAAAAAGATTAATTACAGAAAATTCTTATTATAATTGATAGTTTAGTTATTTTTTTAATTTATTTTATAAAATATGGTTTTGTTCTGTAAATATCATTTATAAATAACATTTATTTAATTTTTAATTGGTTTTTGCATTCATTATTTTTCTTTTGTGTTTATAGATGTTTTTAACTCCACTTTCTACAATTTACGGTAATTTAAATGTGCCATCTGTATTGTTAAAAGTTTGCAGTGATTGTTGCAGAAGTAGGCTTCACGCTCTTGGTTTTCAACTTTCTATTGTAGAGTGGATTGAAAACTATAAAGATGAATTTTCTGTGCTAAAAGGTAGGATGGCAAATAATTAATATATTATAATTAATATATTTCTATTGTTTAAAAATAATACTTAACTCTATTATAATATGATAATTTATTTTTTTACACTAATGGCTCTTTAAACTGATTGAATGTTATGCTAGTTGAGTTTTATATTGCTTGAATTTTTTTATAAATCTTTTATACAATAACTGAAGTGTGAGGTGATCATATTTATTATAATTTAGTTTAACATAATCATGAAATTAAATGCGTTTAAAAATTTTGAAAGCCCCTCTGTATGACTAAAAACTAGAAACTAGTGACTGGGGTAAAAAATCTCAGTTTTTAAATACTAATATCTCTTTTTAAAATAAATAGTAATAATTTTACAGTTTCTTTAATGTTAGCCTGTTTTCTCATTAGACAATTAAGAACCAGGTTAACAAACTATCTTTGCAACTATCTTTGCCTGTATGTTAAATTATATTTTAAAATGTTATTTTTTTGTGTGGCCAAAATTATTTTAATTTCAAATCAGTTTTAAAAGTTTGCCAATTTTATTAAAAATTAGAATATATTTAAATCAATATTTATATTACTATTTAAACATTAAAGCATAAATAATTATACATATGGAGATTTTAAATATAGCAAAGAATTTCAAACTTATTACAAAAGAATAGTTAGTTAGCTTATTTGTTTTGAATAAATTTATTATATTTATTTTTATATAAATAAGTTGAAACAAATTTTATTATTCTTTACAAACATAAGTTTTTTACAGAAGAAAAAAAAAGAAACCTAGAATATTATGATAAGGTATTAAAAGTATTAAAATCTATTATCTGTTTTTAGGTATTAAAAGTATTAAAAGTGATGGTATTGGGTTGTGGTGGGGGTATCAAATAGTAATATTATATTGTTGTAACATTAAGGTTAAGTGGGGGTGGGTGAAAGGAAATAACAAGTTTTATGTTTTTTCATTTTTTTGTTTTTATTCTTATCATGATCTCAGCCCTTATTTGTTATAATTTGTTATCAAAAAAATATAAATGAATTTATGTCTAAAAGACAACAACAAAGTATGTGTATGAATATTTGTCTATAATAACAATAGCAATGTTAAAATATTATTCGTAAGTAAAAAGAAAACAAAAGCATATTTTAGTTGATTTAAATTTTGTTGTTGTTACAGCTGAAGAAAATGAAAAAGAAGCTATTGAAAAGACAAAGTTTCAAGTTATAGGAGAAAATAAAAACATAGAAAAAAAGCATGATGAAAGTATAAGTACATTAGTCAATGAAAAGGAAGAATTAATTATGGTAAAAATTTTTCAATACAGTTTGTTTCAGACTCACTATCCAACTGCAGAATTTTATGTTTTGAATTTTCACTGATCAGTGTTTAAATATTTAAAGTATCAACTTAATCAAAATCAAATAAAATTAAAAAAAATTTTTTGTTTCATAACATTACATTCATTGATTTAAATACAGTTAACTTTTATGAATTTTAATCCCGACAAAAGTTTTAAACAAAATTTAATCCAAACAAAATTCAGCTAACTGATTCTGATAGTTGATAGTCCAAGTCCAAGTCCATAAGTCCAAGTCCATAAGTCCAATAATTCCATAAGTCCAAGACTTATATAATAAGTCCAAGAACCTATGGGCTGATTGACGCTAGATACTTTGAACTATGTGTAGAATTTATCATTTACAACTATCTGATTTACTACTAATGATTACTGCAATACTTTTGATTTTCTTTGGTGACTTATCAACTCTTTTTTATATCTTCTTGAAATATCTATCACTGTTCATCTTTCATTTTTTAAATTTGTTGAAGAACTTGACTTAAAGCATAGATAGTACTCAGTACATTATTTAAACAGTTACAGTAAAAGAATAAATTTTAGCTAAATGCCAATTCACACAAGTTTTTGCTTGATGAAACAAGTGATGATAGTCTAAATGAGCAACGAACATGATAATAATTGTAAAAAAGAGAAAAAAAGGCAGCCATGCATCAATAAAACAGAGGTTGAACCTTGGCAGCTTCATTCCAGCAACATTTGCAATGTGATTTTGGATATTGTCTAAAAAAAAGAGTGCCTCATCAGAAAGACAAACCTAAATCTTTCACTTGCAATTGAGTGTGTATATAAAAACCATATAAACATTCCATTGCAAAGTTCGCATCTATTAAGATTGCTCTCTTTATTAGTGTGTATCAAAAAACAACTTTTTTTGTATTTGAGCGGAAAAGTTGCATAATGCTATATAAAGTAATTGTGTCAAATTTTTATATATTTATTTTATGTCTTCAGTTCCCGCTAGGGTTTTATTTTTCTTACAAAAACATGTTTCTGACCTTTTTTACAAATTAAAAATAACAAATTCTATGCATTTACTATAGTTGTTATAGAGTTTAAACATTACTCAATGACTAAGTTAGAAATAATTACAATTTTTAAGAATGTGTTTTTAAAAAAATTTGACACAAGTACTTTTTATAGCATTATAAAAAGTACTTGTATTTTCGATACACACTACTCTTTATCATGCTTTAAATTTCTTATTTGTCTTTGTATTGTTGTCATGTTTAGGTTTGTCTTTTGGATGAGGCGCTCTCTTATTTAGACAAGATCCAAAATCGCATTGCAAATGTTGCTGGAATGAAGCTGCCAAGGTTCAACCTCTGTTTTATTGATGCATGGCTGCCTTTTTTTCTCTTTTTTACAATTACTATCATGTTCGTTGCTCATTTAGACTATCATCACTTGTTCCATCAAGCAAAAACTTGTGTGAATTGTCATTTAGCTAAAATTTATTTTTTTACTGTAACTGTTTAAATAGTGTACTGAGTACTATCTATGCTTTAAGTCAAGTTCTTCAACAAATTTAAAAATGACTAAAGTACCAATAACTATAAAACACAAAAAACCATCTCCATTGCCAAGTCCTCTAAACCTATCATTCAATAATATATGTGGTCTTTAAAGTAACTTTTTTTCTGTTGAGTCTTATCTCTTGCAAAGTTCACCACGCCTACTTTTTGTGAGACTAATTTGAGTTTGGCTGTTTTATCTTGCGATCTTAGTGTTAATGGTTATCTTCCTTTGATTTGTTAAGACTCCAATAGTCACATGCTTGGCCTAGGCATTTACATTCGTAAGAGTTCACCCATTTGTCAGGAAACTAGATATCAATCTACTGACTATTCTTTTATGCGCTTTTGTTTAGTACCACTTCACTTTATTGTTTTTCTCTTTGTTCTAAATAATATATAAAATCTCCTTCATCTCAAGTCTTTTTGATGTTATTTCTGATCAAATTTGCCAAACTCTCTCTCTTTATCCATCACCCAATACCGTTGTTGTTGGTGACATGCTCATTCAGTGTAATGATCATCGCATCAAATAGTGTCAGTCCCATGCTTTAGCCCACAACTTTTGCCTTTTTCAATCTCTAACTCAAATTATCAACTTTCCAACTTGTGTTTCAGACAATATGAATCATTTAACTTCTCTACTTGATTTATGTCTTGTTTCTGATCCTAGTCACTATTCAGTTTCTCCACATTTATCCTTGGTGCTCTGATCACTGTTTGATCTTTCTAAAATTATTATCTCATTCTTCTTCATCATCAGAATTCTTCTATCAACATTCTTTTTAAAACTTCCTTAAAGCTAACTGGAACTCTTTCTGTGATTTTCTTTATGATGGCTTTTTGGTAGAAATCTTTCGTCTTCCTTCTAATAAATGTGGTTCTTACATAACTTCTTAGATTCAGGCTGGCAGGGAATCTTTTATTCCCTCTCAACAATTCCAAGTCAGGTCTCACTCTTTTCCTTGGTGTACCTCACATTGTGCTGGTGCAATTTTCAATCAAAACCATTACTTCCATATCTATCAGTAAAACAATTCTCCAAAAAACATTTTGTTTGCTAAGAACTTTTCATTATTATCATCTATTGATTTCACTAGTTCGTTTCTACCTGATATTTCAGACAGGTTGATTCATTGCTTGACATTTGTGTCACTCCAAGTTCTGTATCTTAAGTGATTTCTTGCTTAGACTTTTTTTGCAGAAGTGTTCTCCAGAACTGTCGTCTAAACTTTCAAAACTATTTAACAAGTACTTATCAAAGTCTTGTTTTCCAACCTGCTGGATAGCAGCATCTGTTAATCTTATTTTCAAAAACTCTAGAGAGTGATCTGACTTGTCATATCCCATTATGATAAGTACCCATTATGATAAGACTAATATCTTATTAGTCTTCTTTCTATTATAAGCAAGGTTTTGAATCTTTAATTAACAAACACTTATTCTCCTATCTTGAATCAAATAACTTACTTTTTGATCATCAATATGGATTTCGATCTTCTTGTTCTACAGCTGATTTGCTAACAGTAATAGCCAATAGGTTTTAGCCCTGCAATATATAGAAGTGGAGAGGTTAAGGCTATCACTCTTGACATTTCTAAAGCTTTTGATAAAGTTTGGTATGGTGGACTTCTCTATAAGCTTTCTTCTTACGGTGTATCAGGTAACATTTTTGAGCTCAACAGATTTGGATTAATATTAATAATTATTAATTAATATATAAAAAAAGAAGGAAGAAACTGAAAGTGTGGTCAATCAAAAAAAATCAGAGCCTTATTGAATCACATCTTCTGCCTAAGACAGAAGGATTACAATTACTAGTAAACATAATAGATTATTAACAGCTCTAGAATTAACTTTAAATTGTTCTCAAATAGCTCCGGTAACGGTGAAGAGGCAATTGATTTAAGCAGGGCTTAGTGGCAGAATAACTGCAAGGAAACTTTTTCTTTATCCTCAAAATAAATAAGAAAGAATAGATTAGGCTAAACTATACCAAAATAGACCATCAATGACTGGAAGCGTGTTCTTTTGACCAACAAGTCAGCGTTTCAAATCTTTGGTTCAAAAAGAAGACTGTTTTTTCTAAAGAAATGTTGGTGAACAGATAATAAAACAATGTGTACTGTCAACTGTAAAACATGGTCAGGTTAATGTTATGGTTTAGGGTTGTTTTAAAGGAGATTCTACAAGTGACATTTGAACATTTTAAAATGTCATGCTATAATAGGAAGCTAGAATTAGAATTAAGAAATAAGAAAATAAAAGAATGAAGAAGTTGAGGAACCATTCATTTTTTAAGAAGATAACAACCCAAAGCATTCTTTGAAACTTTGTAGAAGTTTCTTAGGCGAGTTAGAGAATGATCAAGTATTGAATAGATTGATTCTCCCTAATCACTAGATCTCTTGCTAATCACTAGATCTCTCTTTTATTGAGCTTTTACATGATAAACTAAAAAGAAATGTAAAAAGCTAATGCCTAATGGTGCAAAGGATATGTGTAAAATAATAGTGTGTGGAATAAAATTAACTTTGACAAACTTAAGTTGTTATGTAGAATGCCAAGAATATGTGCAGTGGTTATTGCTAGAAGTGTACCGCATATTTTTGACGAATATACGGGATATTGAACTTTTCTAAAGTTCTATAAGTGTTTATCAAAAAAAAACAAGTCTTGCCATTCTACATTAAATAGTGTTCAAGATTTAAAAAAATATAATCAAGAAAAATCTGGTATAACACAGATATATGCGTTAATAATGTATAAGGAAAAATTATTTTTACAGCCCAATTTTTGTTTTTTTTTAATTACTATTTTCTATACTTCTTCAGCACGTATCCCATATTATACAGTTTTTCTTTTGATTCTTAAAAGTAAGATCTTGAATACTAGTTATTGTAGACTGGCAAGACTTGTTTTTTCTTTATAAACACTTAAAAAACTTTAGAAAAGTTCAATATCCGGCATATCCAGCAAAAATATCCGGTACACCTCTAGTTATTGCAGTTACAGGTGGTTACATAAATGAGAGTAAATTATAAAGTAATTTAATTTGATGTTTTTTTTTTTATTTTGTAAACATAATCAATAGCATATTTTCTAGCCTTTTTGCCTATATATATATATATATATATATATATATATATATATATATATATATATATATATATATATATATATATATATATATATATATATATATATATATATATATATATATATATATATATATATATATATATATATATATATATATATATATATATATATATATATATATATATATATATATATATATATATATATATATATATATATATATATATATATATATTATATATATATATATATATATATAATTTAGTTAAATTTTATTTTACAATAAAGATTTGAAACCTTTATGAGCTGGAAATCAGTTAATTCTCTTTAAACTGTTATTAATGTGTTTGTGTAGAAGTACTATTAATTTATTTAGGAGTCATCGACTTTTCCTGAACAAGGTATTTATTTTTGTTTTTAAGTGTTTTTTTTTTTATATATTATAGTATAGTGCAGTATATAATTGGGTTGTTAAGGCTTTGAGGTAGGTTAAATTTCTTAGCTGCGGTAAAGGGAACTTTGGTGGGAGAAAAGAAATCTCTGATATAAATCCCCAAATACAGGTAAGAGCTGGAGAGCTTGTAATCCTTGTATTATTATTTTCCGAGTGTTTTTTACACATAATAAAAGTATTCCATGTCAAGTTGATCAAGATCCAACATGGACCAACTCAGATTTTAATGAAACTTAATGAAACTTAGTTTAAATCAATGAGATAAATGATTCTTGATGCTTTTAGCATAAAACGTTTTGTGGTTTATTAGGTTTGGTTGTTTAATATTTCTGATTACCAAAAAAAAAACTTCAGTACAACAAAACATGTTATGTTCATAATTTGAAGTTCTATAAACTTTCTAGTTTTGAATGTTTTGCATCATGTTAAAAGTTTCAATAGGATTCACTATACCGATTCAACTAAACTCAACTTAAAGGTCAAAACATTTTTACTTATTTTTGTTTGTAAGGTAAGGTAAACAAAATTTTTGGCCCTAACTTTGCCATCCTTTTGTCAGATTCAAAGGTTTTTACATTTTCTCCAGACTACTTTTATACATAAAAGTTAAGTTTGAATAGGATATAAAAGTTAAGCAGTTTAAACTGTTTTTATACATAAAAGCAGTTTAAATAGGATAAGGTTTATTATAACATTTAAAGCAAGTTAAACGTGAAAAACACCATATAAGTGGTGTGTTTCACGTTTGGTCCTCAGAATCTTCATTAATCTAACTATAAAATAAGTTCTAAATCTTGTTATCTTTTCTGCTGAAAAATAGAATCTTTAGTTTTTACAACCTGGAGATTTCTCAGACCCATCTATCCAGGGATGCGGAGTGCCAAAAAGGACTCTGGATTTGTCACAAAAAGTCATAAGAAGTCACAAAAAGATTACTTCTTTTAAGTTTTTGGTATCCAGGAGCTTTAAAAATATAATTAAAATAAAAAGCTTATGAGCTACTAGTGAAAAAAATCAAAACTTATAGGTCAGAAGAACAATTAATTTTTGAACCCGGAGTCCTTAGATATAATGGGAGCAAGGACTCCGGGACTTCAGGTCTCTGGGATTAAAAACAAAAAGTTCCAAGTCATTAGATATCATTACTTTTTTTCTTATAACATTATTTTTTCTTATAACATTATATATATATATATATATAACATTGTATCATTAATCAACCAACATCTTTAGAACTTCTGGACACCAGAGACCATAAAAAAATAAAGTTATAAAGCTGGAGTCCTTTTAAGGCTCCACATCCTTGCATCTATCTATTAGCAACTCAGTCTTCTTACTACTGTTACCTAAGTCTTTGAATCTTTAATTATTAAATTTCTGAATTTTATCTTGAGTCAAACAATCAATACAAATTTGATCCTTTTTTTCTTCTATTGACTTGTTAACCCTTTTGTTCTTCTATTGACTTGTTCTTATAACAGAAAGATATATTAGATAGAAGTGTTTAGGCAAAGAAAAAGTGAACTATAGTATCTTAAGCTATTGTATACTTTTTATGAAGCATTTTTTGTTGTTGTTTTTTTAAGTTCAGATTCAATTCCAGCAAGGTTGCAAACAACCACTATTAGGTTGGGAGATACTATATTAACCACGATTAAGTAAATATAAATAAGAAAACAATTGACATAAGCCTTAAAATATTGTAGGTTGTTAGAGTCAAGAAAGCATGAAGGTGGGAGAGAGTTCCTAAATGACAAGTCAAGCAAAAATGGTTAATGGAACTAGAGATAATAGCTCCTTTGAGCAGCAAAATGATGGTATTTGTCAAACAGATAAAGAAATGCAACTTTTTGAATATGGGAGATGCTTAAGCTCGGCCAATAGAGCTGGTCAAATTACATTTCCAGTGTGTTTTTAAATCTTGGCTTGAAGTGAAAGAGCATTATTTGAAAAAACAGCCCAAATATGATAATAGTATTCTATACATGGATAAAAATGATTTGTAGAGGTAGAGAGTGGAAGCAAGAGTTAAAATATAGGAAGCACGATAAAAAAAAGCAACCTTAACAGATGCTAACTTAGCAATTGAATGTATATATGATTTCCATGAAAGGTCAGTTGTGAATGATAATTCAAGAAAATTTCAAGAGAAGGACTCAGTGAGAGGATTTCTATTCACCAATCTAGGAATATTGGCAGTATTGCAATAGTTGTTTGCAATAGGTACCAGATTTGATAAAGTTGAAATTTACAAGCTATTGCAAGACCCATTCTGTTACAGAAGTGAGATTCAAGATTGGTTTGTCAGGAAGTTTGCCTGTTTGTCAGGAAGATTATTAATTTTAATAACTTATACTTAGTTATACTTAGTTAAAATAACTTATACTTAGTTATAAAACTTAGTTATAAAGGAAATCTTATGCATGATAAAGTAGTTCAGTCACATTAGCAAATCAGAGTTTGAGAAGAATGAAAAATGTCTGACGGTAAATTATTTAATTAAAAGTATTATGCTAAAATTTGTTGATCGAAGACTCAAAGACATTGCTATTAACAGATAGAAGGTTGGACGACAGTCAGTGTCATAATATTCACTACAATTTTTGAAAACCAGAGATGCCATTTTCCAGTACCCTAAAAAACAAGAATCAGTCAAACACTTATTAAATAATTTTTTAATAGAATTGAAGAAAGTTCTGGATAACACTTTTGTAAGTGACAGTATTGTTGTCCCAAGTCATAATAGAGAAGCTCGAGTGATTTGAATGTCTAATTGGAATGGAAGGAAGATTATGACCATGAGATTCATGAGTCAATTTAGAAAAAAAGTTCTTTGCCAATAGTTTAGCCTTATTTTGATCAGTTAGTATTTAATTATTCAGATCAGTGAATGAGAAATGGAATGTTAGACCTACCTTTTTAAAGATGATGTTGAAGGATCTTAATTAAATTAGCTTTAAATTAATTAAACTATATTAAAAAAAATTAATTGTTTGTAGTTGATCATTGATTAACAATGTAATATGTAATAAGTTGATTGAGATAAACACTTTCCCAAATTATTTTAATTGTTTTGTTTCTTAAACACTTTCCCAAATTGTTTGTTTTTTGTTTTCATTATTTTTAACTTTGCCTTATTAGGTAAAGTTAAAGAGTTTTTTGGTTCCTCTTCTGACCAAAACAACCACTGCAGAGAAGTAATAAATAATATCAGAAGAGATCAATTTGGTGTTGGGATTGAGTTTGGTGAACAGGAAATGAAGCTAATTGAAGTTCATAGAGAGAGAGAAGGGAGATCATTGCAGCATCTATCAAATGAATTGTATTCTAAGGATTCACATTTTGTCCTTGAGTTAATTCAGAATGCTGATGACAATCAATATCCTGAAACATTTTTTGAAAAAAATGAAAAGCCTGCTGTTGCATTTATTGTTGAACATGATAAAATTACTATATTGAATAATGAGAAAGGTTTTTCTGAAAGAGATATCAAGGCTTTGTGTGATGTTGGTAAAAGTACAAAAGGAATTCATTGCAAAGGATATATTGGTATGTTATATAATAGCTTATTTAATAGGTAGATTAGGTTATAATACTTAATGCTTTAATATAAATGCTCAAGTGAACAATAAGATAATTTACTTTAATGTTAAGTTTATTTTATTACTAGGTTAATCTTGAAAATACGTAGTCACATATTGTTTCTTTTTCTTATATATACATATTATACATATCTTTTTTTAATTTTTTTTTAAGGTCAAAAAGGGATTGGTTTTAAATCTGTTTTTCGTGTCACTAATTCTCCAGAGATACATTCCAATGGTTATCATATTAAGTTTGATGCTTCTCATGGTTCAAATGGTTACATTTTACCATATTGGATTGATTGTTGGGAATCAAAGAGTAAACTTTTGTATCAGCCATCTAAAAAACAAAATTAGTAATTGACTTTTATGTATATGTGTGTGTGTTTGTATATATATACACATATATATATATATATATATATATATATATATATATATATATATATATATATATATATATATATATATATATATATATATATATATATATATATATATATATATATATATATATATATATATGTATATATATATATATATGTATATATATATATATATATATATATATATATATATATATGTATGTATGTATGTATGTATGTATGTATGTATGTATGTATGTATGTATGTATATATATTTATATATATATATATATATATATATATATATATATGTATATATATATATATATATATATATATATATATATATATATATATATATATATATATATATAAATATATATATATATATATATATATATATATATATATATAAATATATATATATATATATATATATATATATTTATATATATATATATATATATATATATATATATATATATATATATATATATGTATATATATATATATATATATATATATATATATATATATTCACAGTTGCAGCAAATCATTTTTTTATATATCAACAACTCAATCCAATTATTACAAAACCACTCAAAACACACCCATTGAACTTAAAAACACAATAAACTTATATTTTTCTAGATGCTATTTAGTGTATTTCTTTATTTTTTAATTTTTTTTGTGTATTCATGTATTGCTACAACATCTTGTTGTTTTTGTTTAATGTTTTAAAATTTTTCTTCTTTTTCTTTGAGCACTTGGATCACTCAAATAGTTTTACCATTAAAAAGAGATATGCAACATACAAAACTTACTTCTCGTTTTCATGATATTCACCCATCGTTATTGTTGTTTCTCAATCGACTGCATACAATAATCATAGATGATAAGGTTTTATTTTTAATATTTTTTTAAAAACTATATAAATTAATAATTGACAAACCACTAATTTTGTTTTTGTTTTTCAAATCAATAAATTGGTTATGTCAATATATAGCATAATCTTTTAATAGCAAATTATATACATATACATATATATATATATATATATATATATATATATATATATATATATATATATATATATATATATATATATATATATATATATATATATATATATATATATATATATATATATATATATATACACACTTTATGGTGACATGCGCAAAAATTCTACTATTAGGTGACATTACAGTATTTCCATACAAAAAAATTTTAAATTGTGCTATAACAACTTCACTCATACTGTATTTATACGTTTGACCATATTCTGTTGAAATTAAAACTATTGCACTTGCTAAAAGTATGGAAAATAATTAGATATAGTAACCTAATCACCTCCCTCATCACTAAATTCCTAAATTATTTTTTTTTAATCATAAAAGTAATAGTATATATTTATAATAACACTAAAAAATTATTAAAAGTACAAGCTGTCACCATATGGCATTCTTATGCAAATTTTATGCAGTTTATGCAATAAACACTTTCAAAATTGCATTTTCCATATCTCCCAAAAAAATGTTTAGTTTCACACAAAATTTATTTTTTTAATTATTTAAATAGATACCTAGGTAGATTAGTTTAAATAGAAGCTAGTTTAAATAGAAGCTAGGTAAATTATTAATTTTAATATGCAAGCAAAAAGGCATTAAAATTTCAGTCAGAAATTTAAATAAGGTGACAACAAATAGTTGCCTAAACCCTACTGTCACCTTTTTTTAAACATGTTTTGTTGCCATTGAGTATGTATGTATCAGATAATATATATATATATATATATATATATATATATATATATATATATATATATATATATATATATATATATATATATATATATATATATATATATACATATATATATATATATATATATATATATATATATATATATATATATATATATTATATGTGTATGATGATATGTATCTAAAGGCATAATTTCCAAATATTTTTTGTGTACTTTATATGTATGCTTAAGCTCCGGCAAACAGTGCTTTCAATAAACAAATAGTGAATATTAAATATTAACATTGTTTAACTTGGATAAAAAAGTTTAACAAATATTTTTGTTGATCTAAAACTGTATTGAATAGCGAATATTTGAATAAATTTGCTTAGCAAAGTTTTATTGTCTTTAAAAAAATAGTTCTTACACTTTATGAAACTTAATTGCTATTACTAAGTACTTTTTTAAAAAGTTTACATTTACACTAATTTTACATTTTTTGAAAGATCTTTTTAATTTTAAAATGTTTTAAAAAGAAATTAAAAGCAGATAATATATTTTTACATATATTTATTTCAAAAATTCAAATTACAATAACATGAAACTTTGTTTTTTAATATTTTGACTTTTCATTATGTTCTCAATTTATGTTCCACATGTCGATAATTTTGAGTTATGCAGACCAACATTAGTTGTGTTGAGATTTGATCTTGTCTAAGTAACGACTTGGCCAGGTCAAAAAATATTCTTTCCCATGACGCTGATAGCAGCTAGCTTTGGATATTCACTTACCATGCTCTTCCACCACCATGGTAGAGGATCAGTCCCTAAAACTTGATGTAGGAGCTGCCATAAAATGTTCAAGCTCCACATCTATGTCCATTGTCTTTTTGATCATTTGCACAAGTATCTGACTGATTCATAGTTTGCAAAGCTTGAACAGAGAAGTCAATTTCATCCGATTCTTGAATTGGTGGTGAGTCAAAATTTGTGTACAAATCATTAATAATTTCTACAGAGAATTATTCAAAGTTCTATTAATCTGCTAAGTGATTGTTAATAAAAAAAACAAAGTAACAAAAACCAGTTTTTTAACATTTAAGTTTTGTGGAGAAATATTCGGTCAACTTCGTATTCAAAGTTTAACGATTATTTGGTATTTGGTATTGAAAAAAATATATATGTATGCTTTAATGTTTCAGAAAAAAAAGAAAAAACAAAGATGAATGAAATTTTTTTTTTTATGTGATCTAGTTATCAATTTTTGATCTTGTAAACAACAAAAAATTCAAATCACCTATAGTTGATCATCATCATCATTCACATCAACACTTTCCCTTTTTATTCTAATTTAAGACTGTGTAACATTATTTCAATTTTAATGTTTCATTTTCTTAGAAAGCAATGGTTAACTTATTTATGATTTTAAACATTGATAGGAGTGAAAAAAAAAATTATTGATTATAAAAAAATGCTTTTTTTTTAATGCCAATCTCTAGTATTAGCATTAAAAAAATCCACTATGTGTTCAAAAGGCATCTTTAAAAATATTTTTTATAAATTTTTTTTCTAAATCTAGTGTTATTTTACTATTTAGAATAAAATTATGTTTAAACCAAAGCAATTTTTAAATAAGTTTTTTATGTTTTTTAAGCCATCCTAATATATTTATTTAATATAGTGTTATGACCAGGGCTGTGGAGTTTGAGTTGCGATAATTTTACCAAGTCGGAGTAGCTAAAAAATATTGCGACTCCGATAGTAAAATTTCTTGGTATTGCACGTGCATGTATGTTCATACTAAACCTCAAAGAATATTTCATAAATTTGTCACAAAAAAAATTTCAACTTACCAGGCAATTTTTTTTAAAGAATTCAAAGAATTTTTCAAAAATTTTGCTTTGGAGTTGGAGTCAGAGTTGGAGTTGTTACTTTTTTTTTTACGACTCCACACCCCTGGTTATGACTATTTAACTTTTAAGAAAAAAATTAGTTTTCTGTATCATAAATCGATAAACTTTTATTAGAAAACATTGAAAACAGGTTCAATTCGTCTCAGTTGTAAAAAAAGGTCACCCTGCAATTCAAATTACGTTTCATCATTTATTTAATCTTGTTACTGCTACTACTAATATGTGTGGCTTTCCTGCAAATCATTTAAAACTTGTATAGATTAGAAGTGTTTAGAACTTTAGAACATTTTGGAAAATAACAGAATATTTTAGAAGACTTTAAATTAACATTCTAGAACAATTTAAAACATTCTGGAACAATTTAGAACATTCTAGAACAATTTAATCTTCTGAGGACAAGCGATTGTACCATCTCCAAGTGGAAAGCAAAGGAACAGTGGGATACTCTATTGGTCAAGTGGTCAGTAAAGAAACGATCCATCACTCTAAAAGACAAAATATTCTAATGACTCATCTAACTCATCTTACTATCCTGGTTTTAGTGATTCTGACTCTGAGGCTGACGACAGTGAATATGAAAACAATGAAAAAGATGAGACAACTCCTATACCAAGCAGAAAACATATTAAAAGCAAAATTGCAGTCACTTTGGTGACCTCTACAAGAGTATCAACAAACAAAGCTGCTAACATATGCAAGCAATTGGCTCGTGAAGGCATTGACATCCCAACTCCATGTCAATCAGCTATTTACAAGTCAACAATGAAAGAGGCAATTAAGTTGAACAAAGATATAATTAAAAAATGGCATTTGGAAAGTTGGTCATTACACTTTGATGGCAAGCATATCGACAGAATGGATTATCAAGTGGTTGTTCTTAAAAATGAAAGAAAAGAAATCAAATTGGATGTCCTTGGCTTGGTAAGCGGCAGGGCTTTAACTTTTGCACAAGGAATTTCTAAAGTCCTCAAGGAATTTCACCTATGGAATTCAATACAGATGATTGTTGCAGATATCACAAGCGTTAACACTGGAAAAAAATGGTGTTATTGTAATATTGCAACAAATGTTCACAGAGAAATGCATCAACAAACCTCAGTTTATCAGATGTCAACACCATATATTAGGTAGAATCCTCCGTTTAGTGGATGAAGAACTTGGAAATAAAACACAATTGTCAAATAGCGAATATCCATTTGTATCTCAACTGTTGAAGGAGTACGAATTACTATAAAAACACAGTTTGATAAAGGAACAGAAGTAATTCTCAAAACATCAGGCTGGAGAAATGATATGAAATTTTTGTTTCATCTTACTCGAGTGTTCAGATTTTTTGAGGAAAGGGGACATTTTCCATTGATCAGGTTTCAGAAAATACCCAACATCAGCAATGCGAGGTTGAACTCCAGAGCTATACTAGCAATTCTGGCCTTCATTTTAATTCCTTCAACAAGGACAGTTCTGCAGAGAGTATGTTGATTTATATCATATTAGAAAAAAGTAACCTGTAATACGGGTTATGGTCAGTCTGTTACATAATTAATTTATAGTGACTGTTTTCCACAATATAAAGTTGCAAATTCTTAACTAATACCCTTTTAGAAAAATCCCTTTAAATTAAACAAATTTATTTCTTGGTAAAATTAACATAATAAGGATGAGGAGGTATATTAATTTACCAATTATTATTTAACACATTTGAGTAATTTACATATGACATAGGTCATATAAGTGTAAGGCATAACCATTTTTATCGACATTTCTAAGTTCAACACAAAATAATAACACTTCACCATTCTTTTTAAATATCAACTAAATTCTTGTAATATTTTTTATAACATAAACCTTAATTATTTATTAAGATTAACATGAAGTTAACTTATATTATATTTTACAGGAGTTATTAACTTTTGGTATCCCCTCTCAGGTTAAATTTTTCTTTAGAAAAGCAAGTTTGTTATCTTAAGTACGTTAAATGCACTTAACTAAATAAATTTATAAAAATAACTAAGTTTATATAAATAACTAAGCAATTGAGTACAAATACGTTTCAAAAAAATATATATATAATAATTTGCAATTGAACATGTGTATAACAAATTTTTTTAAAAATGTTAATTTTGATCTTTTATATTGCGTCATACGACAAACCTAAAATAAAAATTGTAACAGATAAGTAGGCATACTATAAATATTGTTTAAAAATATTTACCTATAAATATTTTTAAACAACATACACCAACATAAAGATAAGCCAAAGGTAACGACATTACGCAAAAAAATATCAAAGATAATGTTATGTATTTTTTAGTATAGTTATATTAAAGGCTAGACAAAACTTAGAGCTAAAGCAGTAACACCACTTGACTGGTAAGATTGACAAATATTGCTCTACACATTTGCCAAGTCACACCACTTTGAAATCATGGAAACAACATTATATAAACATATATACCAACTATAAAACACAACATTTTTTTTTAATCTTATATAACATACAAAAACACCTCATTTAACAATCATATACACATTGGATAAAATACATTTCATACTATTATAAAAACACATTTATAAAACAACTACTTAACATATATCATACATATATATAAACACATTTATAAAACAACTACATAACATATTATAAAACAACTACATAACATAGATGCGGTAGTGGTGTAGTGGTAGAGCGCTCGCTTCATAAACGAGTGGTTCCGAGTTCAATCCCCACCACGTCTCTGGTAGTACCGCGCTCAACTCGTTTCTCCGCGCAGCGGCCTTGTTTGTCAAGGTTCGTGTTTCGGAGTTATAGAGTTGAGAGAGGGTTATAGTCACAAAATAAGTAGCCTCCTCGTCTGTAGTGGCTTTCTCGGCCTTGAGGAGGTGAAAAAAAATAATTAAAAAAAATATATATATATCACTACATACACATATTTATCAAAAACATTTTTAACTTTAAGCGTAATATAAATTTATATGCGAACTTTTAACTATAAAAAAAAACATTTACTAGCATCAATTATCTTAAATGTAACAAAGAATGCAGACTGCAAAAATGCACAACATTGTTAATAAAAAAGAAGTTATGTCAGTCAGTATATATTTATCTAAAAGATGGAACCATTTAAGAACAAAATTCAAAATTTCAAATAAATAAATATTCAAATACCTTAAAATGAAGCCTAACACAACATTCCTTTGACAAAATCCAGAAGAATTTTTTTTAATTTTCCTATTTCCTAATTATTTTTCCTAAGAGAAAATATACATATAGATATAGAGAAATATAAAATAGACTGAAATAAACGCAAACTTATGTATATAAACTTACATGACCACAAATAACAGTCTTATTTTATTTAACTTTTCATATTAAGTACATAAATAAAATTTTATTCTCATTATTTTTTTTTACAAAAAATAATCTTAATCGATAAATAATAAAATGAATTGATTTTACTAAAAAAGACATCAGCTTCTCTTAACGACAAAACTGAAACAGTTTACTAAAAAATAAATATTGTACTAAAAAAACTATTTTACCAGTCATTTCAGTTTTAACTTCTTCTAAAAAATGAAAACAGGCTATAAAAATTAGAAAAGTGAAAAGCAACCAACAACAAACTAAGTTTCTCCTTGAAACTAAAAATATTTCAACTCTAACTTGCTTGAAGATTTTGCTCGAAAGATCGCGATATATAATATAAATTTCTATACGAAAGTATAGAAACTACCTTAAAAACGAAAGTGAAATGACACTAATATTCACTGCAGTATTAATATTTAGATGGTTGGGCAGACCATTGGTTTACAGATCAACTGTACAACGAAATGACTCTAATAACTTGGCTGAAATACTGAATCCATAAAAAAAGGCTTTAAGCTATTTGAAAAATCAGTAGAAGCAAGAGCCATTCATACTACAAATATCCAGAAATAATCAATGTGCAGAGCATTGAGTCAAAGTAATGAGAAAATTTATTCATCATGCAAATATAAAGATTGCACCTTCAATTCCTTCTGTGCATCAAGCAAAAGCAAAGTCAATAGTCTGAGTGATTTTTGGATTGAAAATTTATTATATTACATGACTATGACATTCTAAATACATTTGAATACATAGTTGTACTTATTTTAAAAATTCATTTTTCAATGGTGGGTTGAGTTTTTTTTAAAAAATATGCAAATAATAGTTCATTTCGTGTTTTTTAGGTAAAAGTTTATCAAACTACAGTACAGGAGCATGGGATTGATAAAAAGTGATGACCCTTTCTGAGAGACTGTTATCATAGATTTTTAAATCTATTATTGAAAATTAGGTAAAAAAAGAATTGCATAAGTATTAAACTAATTTATTTAAAAAAATTAACAATGGAGATTTTATAAAACTGGTGGCACTCTTCCTGAGTGGTTTTTTATTACATTAATAAAAGTTATTAAATCGAAAACAGTTTACCACAAAACCAAAAGCAACTTATTTTAGTATTACTACTTTATTAATACTTATTTGAGTCATTTAAATAAAAAAATCTTTGGATTATCGAAGTTTTTACTTACACATCTTACATTATGCATTGTCTTATTTTCATTAGGTTGAATTTTTAAAATGCTGCAAAGTATTTACATTTTAATCTTTTAAAATATTTTTGAGTAAAAACTGCTATCACAGTCTAGGAGGGACAGGGGTATATGTTATCTTTTGTGACAGGAGGGAAGAGATTAAAACAAAAATAAAAAAGGTTCTAACAGAATTCAGTAAAAACAGAAAAGGTTCTAAAAAAGGTTCTAACTTTTTTTCATATAAATAAAATTATTTATATGAAAAAACAGCATAAAATTATTACAAATTTGTTATTTAACTTTATAATATAGCACAGTTATAAAGTTTTTTGAAATTTTTTTAAATGTTCTGAATTGACTGAATTTCAGTTCAGAATTTGTTAGCAGAGTTTCTGGTTCACATTCAATGAAGCTATAAGAGTTTCTGGTTCACATACTATGAAGCTATAAGAGTTTTTGGTTAACATTCTATAAAGCTATAAGATTTTCTGGTTCATATTCTATGAAGTGTCTGATTAAATTGTGGCTATATGCATGTTATGTTTTTAACAAAACAGAATTTTATGCAATTTATGTTTTTAACAAAATGATAAAAAAATGCTTGTGTTTTTATCACAAAATAGTAGATATTGAAAGTATCAGATCTCATGTTTGAAAATAAACAATCAAAACATTAACAAAATATATTAAATGCATATGTTTTACACATAACCATCCCTTTATTGCACCACTATGGAATTGGATGCCAGTCATTTGTTTAAGCAGGACGCATGCGTTTCCTAATTATGAGGTATTCCCCAAACATATTTGGTAGGGTTAGGGTGTTTTTTTTTTTTTTTTTTTTATTATCTTCGCTTCCAACTAGGCTGCAAGCAACCACTAATTAGTGTTGGAAGTTACTGGAAGAGAAAAGATGAAGATTGTAGAGCAAGATAACAATTGACAGACAACTTAAAAGATTGTAAATTATATGAATCAGAAAAGCAAGATGAGGGAAGCAAATTCCAAAGAACTGATGTTGAGGAAAAAAACTAGACGAATAAGAGTTTTTGGAGCACTTAGGAACAGTAACAGAAAAAGGATGAGACTTAATTAAAAGACGAGTAACACGAGAATGAATTTTTGTAGATGGCACAAGAGATGCTAGTTCTTTCGAGCAGTGCCCATTATAGTATTTGTTGAAAAGAGTATGAGAAGCAACATTACGATGATGTGACAGAGGTTTAAGGTTGGCTGCAATAGTAGGTCTTACTATGTTTACAATGCGTTTTTGCACCTTGTCTAAAAGAGAAAGGGCATCAATAGAAAACCCGCCCCAGATATGGCAACAGTATTCCATACAAGGCCGGATTTGAGATTTATAGAGATAGAGAATAGAATCCAGAGTAAGAAAGTGACGAGCTCGATAAAGAGAAGCAACTTTAGCAGATGCTAATTTTGCAACAATTTGATATAAGGTTTCCAAGAAAAATCAGAAGTAAGAGTTAATCCTAGAAGATGAAGGGTAGGAGACTCATCGAGTACATTACCGTTCATAAGAAGATATTTCCCAAACTTATGTAGCATTCATTTGAATAAGTAATATTTGTAGGTAAATATTTAACTTTCAATTTTGATTTTAAACTACATTTGACTTTTAAATTGTAACTTATAAGTTACTACTAACAACTTAATATGTTTCAAAACGGCAATCCATTAACAAATCTTAAATCAATTCTTGGAACCAGCATGCCAAATTTTAAACTAGTATTAAATTGTTTAAAGTCTATTTCACTTTGTATGTTTACTTTTAAAACTAATCATTCTTGTATATTTTTCTTAACATATTTTTGTTATTTTTTTAATGTTTTTTTTTTTTTTTGATGTTTTAACACAAAATGTTTTAAAACAATTGCACTGGAATAAACCAAAAGTGCTTGGAGAAATGTTATAATAAAATGTCTAATAATTTAATAATACACATAAAATTTCTTTAAGTTTAGTTATATTTTGATTTAATTTTTTCATTAGTAATAACATGATGTGGGCTTGATTTTTTCCACACCAAAAATAAAATTAAAAAGTTTATTGTAAATAAAATGTAAATAAAATTTTTATTTACATATTACATATATTTAGATATTTTAAGTTTATATTATTTATAAGTTTTCATAAATGATTAGTTATATAATTTTAACATATCTAAAAGTTGTAATTGTTGTTTACTGTTTATATAGCAGTAGTTAAATATTTAAAACATTTTATAATTTAGGTTTCAAATGTTTTAAAAGTGATTGAAAGAGAAAATTTGGATGAAAATATAGTCCGCTTATCTAACAATAATGATTCAGCTTTATGGTTTGTTGTTGGCAAAGAATTAAATGTAGATGTAAGCGACTGTAAATATATTGTTAAAGATATAAATATTTAATACTAGTCATATAATAATATATAATAAAAATAAATTATTATAAAACAAATATAAGTTAGCATATATATATATATATATATATATATATATATATATATATATATATATATATATATATATATATACACATATATATATATATATATATATATATATATATATATATATATATATATATATATATACATATATATATATATATATATATATATATATATATATATATATATATATATATATATATATATATATATATATTTATAATATATATATATATATATATATATATATATATATATATATATATATATATATATATATATATATATATATATATATATATATATATATATATATATATATATATATATATATATATATATATATATATATATATATATATAGAGAGAGAGAGAGAGAGAGAGAGAGAGAGAGGCTCCGGCGGGAATGGTGGGCAATTCCACTCTATGTCTGACCAAGTATTTAAGTTAGTTAATGTTATCAAACACAGTAAACATTTAGTTGCGTTTGATTGACCACCGCTTTTAGATGTTAACGTTATCAAACACAGTTCTTTTAGATAGTTAACGTTATCAAACACAGTTCTTAATAAAGATATTTACATCATTGAAAATTTAATTACGTTGTTGCGTATTTTACAATGCCTCATTATAATTTAATTTTAAACCCTATATTATAACCGTAATATATTGCATTGGAAACTCTTTCTCAGAGTTCGCAGTATGTTATGTGTAGTTGCGCCATCCTGTTGGAATATCTTATTATATTAAAAGTTTGTTTTTCAATTTCTTTTTGTAATTATACTGGTTAATTCTCCTTGTATAAATTTCAAAACCCAATAGTCTTGAGA